CGTGATGCCGCAAGTTCAAGTAAGCCACAAGTTGAGTTAGTGTTACGAGTAATTTAATCTTTTGGTTTAAATATAGTGTAAATACAAATTCTATGATAGCTGAAAAGACATGATTTGGTGTTTATGGATCTTATTTGAAAGAAGATATTATTGATATTAACAAATTTATTTATGAGAAATGTTTGGCATATTAAATTTAAAGATAAATTTTCCAATAAAGCTTATGATATTATTGACACTTTTGTCGTGTTGTATCTTGGCAAATAGTGTCGTGTTGTATCTTGGTAAATTTTAGTTTAGACTTCTATTTTTATTAAGTGTTGTCACGTAAAATGTGTCATCTCGTAAATAATATAATTTCAATCTCGGTGTTATTTCTAGTTAGATATAAAGTTGTATAATCATAGGTAATATTCTATTTTATCTAGTAATAGTTCATACAATATTTTGACTAATCTATATATAATTCTCAAGAAAGTCTATGTTTATGTATATTAGATATGTATATTTCTTAAGTAAATCTATATTTGTCAAATAATAATGAATATAATTTTATTTATTTATTCATTAATCTATAAACATATCTGTTCAGAAAACAAGAACTGCTATACAAATTAGTACCTATAATATTAATTCACTTTGATAAATGTAACCTCGAGTTTCATTAGTATTATAGATTAATCCATTAAAAATCGAAGAATATATTTTCCCATCTATAAGAAATTAGTAAATAAAAAAAATTAGTAGCTAATTTCTTACTAATTATCTTTGGACAGGTTTTTTCGGATCATCATGCTACAATATTTTTAGTGACATATATACTTATTCATATATAGTTCATACTTTAGGTTATTTAGGAGAAATTAGTAAATGCTAAATATAGTAGCTAATCTATCGCTAGTTCATTTTATCCACATAAACATTCAACGATATGTATATATGGTTGTTGTTAAATGATATTTTTAGGTGATGACATATCATATCAAAAATTAATTTAAAGGTTTGGAATAAAATTTAACATAAATATTTTAGGATAAAAAGTAAAACTAACCAATCAATTTAAAACTGTTTTTCTGGATACTCCTAAAAATAGTTTTTAACGACTTATATATATCGATACGTTCATATTTAAGGTTTTCTATAATAAACAAACAAAGCAATTATTTACAGTGAAGAGTTACAATGTCAACATCTAAATTTGCTATATTTTGTATTGTTCTGATTTTTCTTGCTAGTTGTCATGAATGTATGTCATATATTGCTTACATTTCTTTCAGTCCCTGATTATCATTTTCATTAAAATAATAACACTATCCTCAATTATTTTTTAAATTTTTTTAAAAATTTTATACAGGTGTCAACCCCAAAAGAGGGCCCAAACCAACATGCTCTAAAACACCAGACAATATTTGGTGTTGCAGCAACAATACACACTGTCAGGAAACCAAAGCGCAATGTGAGAGAACTTGTAAAATCCCCTGAATTTTCCTAAAGAGAATTTCTCTAATTATAGATCCAAATATTATTCTTCTTCCATTATTCTAATTTTAAGTAATAAATACTAATTCATATTCCAAAGGAGAATCTAGTATTATGTACTAAATATTTTGGTATTTCTTCGAAGAGTCAATATATATATATATAGTTGTTTTATGATTTTCTTCAAGTGTAGGTAAGAAGTTTATAGATGTTATGTAAAACAAGAATAAAAATATTTTATACTGTTAACTAAATTATAATGTTGTAGACACTTGGTCGTTAAAGTAAAATAAAATATATATTCAGAACATAGTGTAAATTATATAAAGTAATTTACAAAAATATAAATAATTATCTTAATCGTTGATTGGGCTTATTCAAAAATGTGACAAAATTTTTATGATAACAATTCTATAAAATATCATTGTGGTGGGGGTCTTTTCAAATATGATCTCATAAAATGTTTATATTAATAATTAATATATAAAATTTTAATAAGTAAAACAATTAATGAAACATATCATCGATGTTGTCCGTAATTCCAGACGTGATGTCGCAAGATCAAGTAAGCCACAAGTTGACTTAGTGTTGCAAGTAATTTGTTCTTTTGGTTTAAATGTAGTGTAAATACAAATTCTGTGATAGCTGAAAAGACATGATTTTGGTGTTTATGGATCTTATTTGAAAGAAGATATTATTGATATTAATAAAGCTATTGATAAGAAATGTTTGGCTTATTAAATTTAAAGATAAGTTGTCCAATAAAGCTCATGATATTATTGACACTGTTGTCGTGTTGTATCTTGGCAAATGGTAGTTTAGACTTCTATTTTTATTAAGTGTTGTTATATAAAATGTGTCATTTAGTAACCAATAAATAATATAGTGGCAGTCTCGGCGTTAGTTCTAGTTAGATATAAATCGTATAATCGTGTGTAATATTCTATTTTATCTAGTAATATTCCATACAATATTTTACTAAGATATATATATATATATTTCTAAAGTAAATATTTATTTGTCAAATACTAATGAATATATTTTTATTTATTAATCTATAAACATATCTGTTCAGAAAACAATAACTGCTATATATAAATTAATACATGTAATATTATTTCACTTCAATATATCAAAGAATATATTTTCCTATCTATAAGAAATTAGTAAATAAAAAAATTAGTAGCTAATTTCTTACTAATTCTTTTTGGACACATATTTAATTTTTCGATATTATATATATATATATATATATATATATATATATATATATGAATGTCATTAACCGGTTCTTTTAGGTGGTGATATATCCTAACAGGTTTGGATCTTTATGCTACAATATTTTTGGTGACATATATACTTCTTTATATATAATTCATATTTCAGGTTAGTTAGGAGAAATTAGTAAATGCTACATTTGGTGCTAATCTATCGCTTGTTAATTTTATCCACATATTTAAACATTCAACGATACGTATATATATATATATGGTTGTCGTTAAATGATATGTTTAGGTGCTGACATATCATACAATAGCTAAAATAAATGTTTGGAATAAAATTTAACATAAATATTTTAGGATAAAAAGTAAAACTAACCAATCAAATTAAAACTATTTTTTCCAGAAATAATTGCTTTGTTTGTTTATTATAGAAAACTTTAAATGTGAACATATAATATATAAGTCATTAAAAAACTATTTTCCGGATAATCCTAAAAATAGTTTTTAACGACTTATATATATTTATATGTTCACATTTAAATTTTTTCTATAATAAACAAACAAAACAATTATTTATAGTGAAGAGTTACAATGTCAATATCTAATTTGCTATATTTTGTATTGTTCTGATTTTTATTGCTAGTTGTCATGAATGTATTTCATATATTTCATATATTGCATACATTTCTTCCAATCTCTGGTTATCGTTTCCATTAAAATAATAACACTGTCCCCAATTATTTTTAATTTTTTTAAATTTTATACAAGTGCCAACCCCGAAAGATGGCCCAAACCAACATGCTCTAAACACCAGACAATGTTTGGTGTTGCAGCAACAATTCACTCTGTCGGCCAACCAAAGCGCTATGTGAGAAGATTTGTTGGATCCGCTGAATCTATCTAAAGAGAATTTCTCTAATTATATATTCCAAAATATTTTTCTTCACTTATTATTCTAATTTTGAATAATAAATACTAATTCTGATTCCAAAGGAGAATCTATTCTATTAAAATAGAGTCATTTTTTTTATCTACCGATACAAGTTGTCATTTAAATTTGGATTATTTCTAGAGTGTTACAAATAATACAAGTCATATAGTTAATTGAACCGCATTACTTAAATTAAACCGATGGTTATTTATGGGATATAGTCTTGGGCTTATTTAGAACAAATTATATGGTTTGGTTTTTGGGCTTAATATTAAGGAAAAACTCCAAAAATATTGAATAAACTTTTCACCTTAATGGATCAAAAAATCTGTTATTATTTTTAAGCACAAAAGGTATTTAATATTTTTAAACAAAACAAGATTATCTATTATTAATTATTTATTTAAACATGTACTTTAAAACATGTTAATGTATTTTTTTATTTTAAATAACAATCACTTTGTTTTGATAAATTTCAATGGTAACTTTTAAATAATTTATTGTTTTATTTCTCTTAAATAATTTACTGATTATAAAAAAATGTAAAGCAAAACCAAAAACCAAATCTAAAAACTAAAATCCAAAACCAAAAACTGAAAAACAGATTATATTTTTTTTGCTTTTATTTATTTACAAAATAAAATATTACAAATTTCTTTAAAAAATTTTTTTGTCATCTTTTCAGTTTTAAATTAGATGTTCGATTATTTGGGATTTGTTTGTTAGTAATATCCGTTCAAACTAACTCAGCAGGTCTAAAAATTAAAAACCAAAACCAAAAGCTGAAAATCAAAAATAGAAACTTAAAAACTAAAAACCAAAAACCAAAATCTAAAACAAAATCTAAAATAAAAACTGAAACTAAAAACTAATAAATAACAATCATAACCACAAATTTTGGTGAATTGATTTTATCCCAAAACATTCTTTAAATTAAGACAAAACTAAATTACATAAATTTTTAATCATAAAAAGTTTCCGCGCTTTCAAGCGCGAGTCAAAATCTAGTCTTGTATTATGTACTAAATGTTTTGGTATATTTTCGAAGAGTTAATATATATATAGTTGTTTTATGATTTTCTTCAATCTTAGTTAAGAAGTTTATAAATTTTATGTGAAATGAGAATAAAAATATTTTATACTATTTAACTGAATTATAATGTTGTAGACACTTGGTCTATAAAATAAAATAAAATATATATACAGAACACAGTGTAAACTATATCAAAAAATTCACACAAATATCAAGACTTATCATTAGTCGTGGATTGAGCTTATTCAAAAATGTGACACAAATTTATAAAATAGTATATTTTATAAAATATCATTATGGTGGGGGAACATTTTGCATTGGCAAACTTTATTACAGGTGCACAACTTAATAATGTCTTCTGACTGAGGAAAGCCCAAAGCCAACTTCCCAGCCTCTTTTTTCTCTACAAGTTTGATGAAATTGCGAACAATTGTCATGCCTTCAGTGGTTATAATACTCTCCGGATGAAACTGTACTCCCTATGAACAAAATTTTGCAAGACTTCAAGAGTTCTGTTTAATTAATGGAAGAGGCAAGAAGAAACATGAAGCCCTTGAGTAAGTTTTCTTTACCTGTATGTGCTTGTGCTTCCTGTGTCTTGCCGCCATAACCAAACCATCTTCTGTCCATGCAGTAACCTCTAGTTCATCACTGGGAAACGTATCTTTCTCAATCACTAGGCTGTGATATCTACCTACAAGAAAAGGGCTGAACAGAAAACACCAACAAGATTTGTTTATGATTATAGTTTTCACAGAAAGCATATATTAAAAAAAAACACGATTCATACTTGGATAAACCGGAGAACAAGCCTTCTTCTCCTTTCTCATCATAGTGAACCATGGAGCTTTTCCCATGCATAACACCAAACGGTGACCGCAATATCTTCCCTTCAGACCAAAGTCCATTACATAAAGTACACAACCATGTTAGAACACTGATATATGAAACTAAGATGTCTTTCTAAAAGCAAACTAACCTCCAAATGCTTCTCCAATACACTGCAAACCCATACATACTCCAAACAGAGGAACATGTGGTCCGAGTTCCAAAACAGTTTGTAAGGAAATCCCAGAGCCTTGTGGGGTACCTATCAATATTCAGAAAGGTCTTTTTTTGTCTTTTAATTCCTTCCCAACAAGAATCATAAAAAGATACGCAACCCTGTCTGAGGCTAAATTATTTACCAGGCCCGGGAGAAATCATAACTCCTCTTGGATTTTTGCTGCACAACAAAAGGAGATAATCTTGATTAAGCCAGATTACGTTGTTTTAAGAAGACTGCAAATTGGTTTCTTCTTCTAACCTTTTGAGCTCCTCTACTGTAAGTTCATCATTGCGGTAAACTTCAAAATGGCATCCTAGCTCTCCCATATACTATTTAATAAAAGGATAGGACCATATCATGAGAATTGGTGAAGACAAATTGGATGATGCATTGACACACCATTATGTGTGGACGAGAGCTAGAAGTGAGACATTAGGGATCTATACTTTATGTGAGACACAAGACAGATGAGTTATTACAACCTCAAATAAAACTAATCTAAAGTTCAAAGACAGCTTTTGTTGGATCAAGAACCAACCACTCCTTACAATGTGCTTTCCACATACAAATGAAGAACACTGATCAAGAACCACTCCTTACATACAAATGAAGAACAATATTCTCCAGAGAAATAAGGGCTTTCGACAATAAGCTTCAACGTGCAACATAACGACTCTCAGTGATCACATAACACGAGGAGGAATTATCATATATATATATATATATATACTTGAACACATTCCTATAAAGCTAAGACCATAATCTATCGAGAGACTTAGTTGAGCCGATAAAGAGGGAACCTGGCAGAGATTGTAGGTGAAGCTGTCGTAATTATCAATCACGATGATGGGACCCTTCTGCTGCTTACTAGATGAAATGACTACAACGGAAGAAGGTGTTTGCGTCATTTCAATCGAAGCTTTCGTAACCACATATCTCTGACTCTTCACTAAAACCGAAAATCCTAATCACAGAGGACAAAGATTAAACCTTTTATTCGAATAACGCATAAGAAACAGCGAGACTTACTGGTCGGATTCGGACATGGCTTGATAAGAGAGGAAGGGTTTAGGCGAGTGGTGGAGCCGGACTTGGGTTGGAGAAGACGAGAAGAAGACTTGAACAATGTAGTTGGTTCGAAAGCGAAGAGACCCTTTCTCTGGTGTTGGTTCCAAGAGAGAGGAGCTTTTATAAATAAACAAGGAAGGAAGGCTCAGAGAGAATTGGGAAGTGGCAGGTAAAACGATGCGTTTATGCAAAACATGGACCACGTGCTTAAATCAGTAGGTGACTCACATGGTTCTCTTTTGTGGGCCAAAGTCTAAAACCATAATGAAATCTAAAAATGAAGTTAAGCAGTCATCAAATCTAATCCCTTATATATTAAAGGAGAAACATTTAAAAAAATGTAATCTCAATTTTGTAATAATTAAAAAAGACCTCATGCTTAGGTGTCACTCAATTAGATACGCAATTACATTCAATTGAAAAATAAGTAGGTCCACATTCGATTTTTATATGTCGTTAGATACATTCGTTGGTCAAATTATATAATATGATGATATGATATGATATTTATGATAGAAGCATTTATGATTGTTCCCCTAGATATAATTAATATTTTATTTTATTTCCATAAATAAAACCTACGGAATTACCATAAATGACTAATATATATATAGGACACTTAATGATTCTAATAATAAATATTTGATAACGGTTTATATATCCTCTATCATTTTTCTTTAATTTTATATTATTACAATAAATTAAACAATCAAATTAGCTATAAAATTAAACTTTAGATTTTTTCGTATAGGTTATATTTTGAATTTAAAAAAACGAGAATAAATAACTAAACTATTAAAATTATTATGTTAAAAATTAATGATCAATAGTTTAACATTTTTATTATAAAAAGATATACATGATTTTAAAACCATATAAGTAAAAAGTATCATTCAATAATAAAACAAATATATATACAGATTAAACTATATACCATATAAGATTACATNGGTTATATTTTGAATTTAAAAAAACGAGAATAAATAACTAAACTATTAAAATTATTATGTTAAAAATTAATGATCAATAGTTTAACATTTTTATTATAAAAAGATATACATGATTTTAAAACCATATAAGTAAAAAGTATCATTCAATAATAAAACAAATATATATACAGATTAAACTATATACCATATAAGATTACATGAATATTTTAATTTCAAAATCCTCAATAAATTTTCAAGTACATTTATAAATTATAAAATTATTAAATTTTTTACGTTGAAAATTTTTGTTATCAATGATTAAAATATCTTAGTCCTTTTTTAATTTTATAATTTTAAAAGATATTAACAATCGATAATATGGTTATTTTTGGTATATACCATACAAACCAAATGGATATGATTTTATAAAAACCATAGGATTTGGATATGATTTGATTTATAACCGATTAAACTGAAACATGTAAATATGTATATATTTATAACGATGCATGAATATCTATTTGTTACATGAGTTGAATTATAATTATAATTTGTAAATAGCTAACAATGTATTACAGCTTAGACTTCTTATTTTGATCTTTTGTTTTTTTAACAGTAACGAAATTTAAGTAAAGATTATAAATTTGATGGACAACAATTAGTTGAAATTCTTTACAACTTTTTTTTATCTTTAAACAAACAGAGTTGTGTTCAATCGAAGACATATTGGTTTGATGAACACTAAATATGGAAGAATATAAAAACTTTTCTTTCATGCTTCTGTTTTGTTTTTTATTTTTATTTTCAAAATTTAGTGTTTTGATATNAAATTCTTTACAACTTTTTTTTATCTTTAAACAAACAGAGTTGTGTTCAATCGAAGACATATTGGTTTGATGAACACTAAATATGGAAGAATATAAAAACTTTTCTTTCATGCTTCTGTTTTGTTTTTTATTTTTATTTTCAAAATTTAGTGTTTTGATATTAATTCTAGATTTGATCATTTTATTAGATGATAGAAGCCTTTTTGTTTTTTATTCTTTTATTTAAATATATAATATTTTTTTAATAAATGACTATGTGACAATATGACTCTAAATATGATCATATTATATATTTGTATAATATATAATATGATCTCAAACTAAATAATCATGTTTTTGGTATAAAATTGAATAAACTGAAAATCGATGGTATATAAACCAAATCAAACTGAAGTACATATAGATTTAGAATAGTAGTTATATGTTAATAATCGAAATACCAAAAAATCGAGCCGAATCGAAACCCGATATCTGGATTTAACACCTCTAATCCGAAAGAAACAAAACTATTGTTTCATTTTTCCAAACATAATAAATAGCTTCATCCCGCGCAAGGCACGGGTCTTATCCTAGTACAAAGCTATTGCAAATGTTGTACACAAGGAGACGATTTGGTAAGACTGGTCTATGATTGTAAAAATGTGATTCATTACTACAAACAACTCTATATATGTTTTTATATATATATATATATATATATATATATATATATGTATCATGCCTTATAAGGTGTTATAATTTCAAGATTTGTGGAGGAAGTTAACTTATCAATAATTGTTTAATAAGTTAAATACACAAAAAGTATCTAGAATAGAAGAGTAAATTTACTATTTAGATTAGTTTTGTGTTTTCATATTAAACATATTAAAAAAAATTGCCTTTCACTATAAATAGATTTCAATGGAAATGTCTTCAATAAGATCTAAAAGAAATATTGATAGCTTTAGTCAAGGAATAAAGAAATTGTTCTTATAATTCTTTATATTTCTGGATATTTGAATTGGAATTAGGACTTAAGTTGAAGCATCGATCTTGGCGTTAGAGAAGTGATCACACAAGCAAGATGGCTGACGTAACTAGAGTTGCGCCTCATACGAAGGAATTTCGATCCCCATCCATCCAATGTCCAATGTTTTCATCGAGAAACTATACGGTTTGGTCGATGATGATGGAGGTTTTGCTGCATGTTCATGAAGTGTGGGACACAATCGTACCCGGTTTGGATGATCAAAAGAAGAACGATATTGCGACTGCTCTTTTGTTTTAATCCGTTTTCAAAACTTTGATTCTCCAAGTTGGAGAATAAACCGCATCAAAAGAGATTTAGAACACCATTAATTCACGAAAGCCAATCGTGTAAGGGAGGCTGGAATTCAGACATTGATGACAGAGTTTGATTGTTGAAGATGGATGATAAAATCAATGAATTCGCAGGAAAAATATCAGGCTTTTCATCCAAAGCAGTCTCATTGGGAGAATACATAGAAAAGTTCAAGATGGTGAAAATTTTTTTGAAGGGGCTCCCAAGACACAATTACATCCGGATCGTACCATCTCTTAAGCAAGTCCTAGACTTAAATTCTACAAGTTTTGAGGACATAGTTGGAAGGTTAAATGTGTATGAGGAGCATGTAGGGAAAGAAACTCAGAAAGAAGACCAAGGAAAGCTTATGTTTTCAAATAACGACCAACATAGTCATAGAAGCTATGCAGGTTTCTGTGGTAGAGGTAGAAGACAAAATATAAGAGACAGAGGTCGAGGTTTGTTAAACAACCAAAACTGTGTCACACACCGAAGACAAAAACTCGAAGAAAGATCGTCTAAAAGTGATATATTGGAGATGTGACAAGCCAGGTCACTATGAAACTATCTATCTCGAGAAAACAATAAACAATCAAGAAACCAACCTAAACAAGACGCCTACGCTCTCTATTACATGAGATGGTATTCTTGAATGAAGACAAAGTGATTCCAAAGAATCTTGATATCGACGTAGGCAATGCAAGTGTTTGGTATTTAGATAATGAAGCGAGCAATCACATGGCATGAAACAAGGAATTCTTTTCGAGTTTGAATAAAAAAAACAAAGCGAAGGATGAGACAACATGATGGCAGGTTGGTCTCACCATGAGCGCGAGACGGGACGACGACGAGCGGCTTCGCCATGAGGGCGAGATGGGACGATGGTGTCGGTCTCGCCATGAGGGCGAGACGACGGTGATGGGAGACAAAACGACCGGTCTCACCATGAGGGAGAGGCATGGCGAGGATGGGATGGTCTCGCCATGAGGGCTAGATGAGACATCGCGACGGTGGTAGCGCCCTGAGGGCGAGATGAGACAGCGGTACGGATAGTATCACCGTGAGGGCGAGATGAGACAGCGAGACGGGTGGTTTAGCTATGAGGGCGAGACGAGAAAGTCGGGACAGGTCGATCTCGCCATCAAGGCAAGACGGCTAGGAAACGCGTACCAGTCTCCCCTGATGGTGAGAAGATGATCGGGTTGGCCTTGTCAGTCCGTGATGGCTAGACGGTGTTATATCAGTCTATGATTTTGTACGCTTTCACAGCTCCGAAGCTTATTCCTTAGGTGCGTTTCTGTTGAAACCTTTTTTGAAGTTGTCTCGAACGTGTTTGTAAAGAATAATTTTTTGCTGGTTAGTAGCGTAGCAATTTTGAGCGTTAATTTCAAGATTATCGATTTTGACCCCAACATTACTTACATTTCATCCAATTCCCTATTATAATTATCATTAAAATAATAATAATATCCTCTGTTATCTTTTTAATTGTTTTAACTTTTGAATTTTATACCGGTACCAACCTCGAAAGAAGACCCAAACCAACATTCTGTAAAACACCAAAGAATATTTAGTGTTGCAGCCACACTTCACACTGTTGGGAGACCAACGCGTTATACTGACACTGATGTCATGTTATATTTTGGCAAATGGTGTCGTGTTGTATCTTGGCAAATGGTAGCCTAGACTACTACTTTTGTTAAGTGTTGTCACGTAAGATGTATCATTTGGTAACCAATAAATAATATAATGGCAGTCTCGGCGTTAGCTCTAATTAGATATATAATTGTATAATCATATGTAATATTCTATTTTATCTAATAATATTCTATACAAT